GGTGACGGTGTAGTATTTGAAACTTTTTGTAACGTGTCATTTAATGTAGCAATCTATTTAATTTAAAGATGTGTTAAGACTTGTTTAGTTTGAAGACAATTTGATTGTGTGTGTAATAAATTATTTAGTTTACCAATCGTTCTAATTATCATTCTCTTTTAATTGTCATATTCTTATTGGTTTATTAGATTTTAATGTTATAAGTGTTCAAACCAATATTCATAATGTTTCTATTAACTGTAACACCCATTAAATATATGCTTTGTGCATTTGAAAATAATTCACGCCGCTGCAACCGCTACAGTCGGCTACAGGCCGCTACAGGCCGCTACCGCGATGACCGCGACCGCTGCCGCTATCGCTGCCGCTACGGCTATTTAAAACCTTGGTCATCTCTCTACCATTATAAGTACATCAGTGTTCCCATTGCTAGCATTCATCATGTGTTTTGCACTAACCGCTAGCTGGTCACTAATAATTTGACAAGGTTTCTCATCCTCCTGTTCGAACAATGTACAAATCAAATTTTCATTTGAAAATAAAATAAAAACTATTATAACCTAGACAACTTAAAATTATTAAGATTTTGAATTCCATCCGAAAAGGTAATTTCATATGAGGAGTGAACAACATGATGAAGGTAATTTGTATTCGGTATTAGGAGATGATTCTTTTAACGAGGTTCCTCATTTATACACTTGAATTTTTTCCATGAGAAACTGAATTTATTTTAAAATGTTTTGTAACATGTCTGTATTTATTAAATTAAAAACAGTTCTATAGTATGCAAAGTTAAAAGTGCTATCATCAGAGTAGCAGCTTATTGTTTTTCCCTAAAGCACATATAGGTTCTCAAAATAATTGAAAACTGACAAATATCTAATTAATTTGCAGACCTCTCTGCTTGGATTATATTCAAACAAGAAAGAATCTAGAAGATTATATCTACAAGTATCGAATTTAACCTTTCAAATTGTTTTAAAACAGACAATTAATTGGACAAATGTTATATGTGTGTAGTATATAATCAGTCAATACCTCTCCTAAAAGATCTGCAAGAGAAAATACATCTGCTCTACGTTGTTTCTCCTTGATTTCGCCGGTCATATTGCTGCACGATGAACAGTTTTCCTTCCCTTCTGCGTTTGGACAACCTGTTCTTGGTGTTGATTCTCCTTGTACACATGTGTTCTCCGGTGAGAATGCCACACCTATGCAATCGTTTCTCCTTCAGTTCGCCCGTTGGAATGCTCAACAGTCTTCCTGTTTCATTTTATTTCATGCGTCAGTTCACCGTCAAAATAGACGTTTATCCTAGGGACTGAAGTGCAAATCGATAGATCCTTAGAAAAAAATAATACGGAATAAGGTTATGTCTGTGTTCAAAAGTTGCACATGTATCATTCTCATTCGTCCACCAAAGCAGAGGTACCATACATGCTTAATCTTTAGAGGTACGGTAGAAAGACCCATAAATTAAATTGAAACTGAGTATAGATAAATAACTAAATAAGCATGAAAGACAAAAGGAAAAAGTTGAAAATAATCAAATAGAAGATGAAAAGGTACAAAAATAAAAGGAAGAAATAGAAAAGTATGGAAAACTCACCTATAGAATAATAGAAATGTTGCAATACTAAAACATTCTCATAAATTCTCAAAAAGAAGCAAAAAGGTCCAAATGTATTTATTTTACTATTTTAATTATTATCACTTTAGCTCATATTTTAAGAGGCCGTTTGGAAACACTGATTTTTCAGCTTATCAGGCTTATAAGCCAACACATATTGTCAAATGCCCACACATCTTTACGTTTAATTACATATGTGATGGTGAATGATATTTCCTACACATAATTATACTTTTATCTACGCATACACTATGTGAAAACCCCATATTTTCTTGTAGAGTCACTCATGTTCTCACATTGTATGACATACCTTTCTTGTTATGGAGCATGTCCTCTGATGACCCATATAGACCCCTTTGTCGAGGCCGGTCGAATAAGTCCTCAAACTATTAGCAATTCTACAATTATATCCTTGAACTTGAAGTCTTTATGAAAACACTACTCAATTCATTGAAATAAAGCAATTGGGCCCTTTTCTACTTGTTGGTGCAGGTAAGAGAAATACTTTCTCGTGAGATATTACTAACATCAGTAGGTAAAAAGAGCCGGATTGTTTTATTTCAAATTTTTAAATAATTTATTACTTTGGGAGATGTTCTGGTTGAGGTGCTCGATCAGGTGCAGTGTATAGTTGATAGTTGTATAATACGTTCTCCCTCCGTCCCTTAAAACTTTGCCAAGTTTGACCGGCACGAGAATTAATTAAGTAAAAACTGTGTGGTTGAGGTTTGTGCATAGGAGAGAGAATTAACTGGAACCACAAATTCTTACTTAAAGGGGAAAGTGACAAAGTTATCGGGACATCCAAAAAATAAAAGTTGGCAAAAATTTAAGGGACGGAGGGAGTAGTAGCTAATTGTTTGATGGGTAATTTAATTGTTTTCCAAAAAATACTTTGACATATTCGCTTTTCATAAATACTACTTCCGTCCCTTTTTATTTAGTCATCTTTGACTTTTGTAGTCAAATATGGTAATTAAACACGACTCTATTATTTTAACTACTACGCGGTATATTTATGTGAAGTTAAAGTTAATAGATTTATACTTTATGATTATATTTTTAATAAAGAATATTTTCGTATCATTTTCATATTATCAACATTACTGTGTATAAATATATTTTTTACTTGAAAAGTCAAATTTATCTATATAAAAAAGGGATGCATGGAAGCAGTGGCGGAACCAGGGGGTCAGGGTGGTCAGTCGACCCCCTGAAAGTTTGAGAATATAGAATTCTGAAATACATTCGATTTGATATATTAAGTCTCTCGTAACTCATTACGAGTAAAAAGTTATGACTTCTGAAAAATCAGCATCATTTAAACTTAAAATGAGTGATAAGAAATCTTGATATTAAGTTGGGTTTGAGGTGGAGGCACATGGCCTCATTCGAGGCAACAATTGCTACAAAAACCCTTCGACTAAACCTGTAAGAAACAAGTTAATAAAATATATGAGTATATGACACATATATCAAATCTATATCTTTGCAGTCTCATTTAAATTACCGTTTGTTTAAAGTACACATGAAACATTCAACTTGGGAATTGAATATTATCTAAAAACAATCTACCGTTTTCATTTTGTTTATAGTCGAGTTTTGACCTTTGAGTTGTTTTTCCGGCGTCCGCCACCGAATGGAAGAAGTAATAAATAAAGGAAACACATTTTTATCGCAATTTATCCCATGGGATCGGCCCACCGTGCGCATGGTGTGCCGATCCCAAATTAAAAGGCGTCATTTTATTGACTAAAAACAAGAGCTTCCATCGATCACAGGAGTTAGAGGACCTTCATGGCAGCAGCTCCAAGGCAGTACATGTAAGCTTTCTCCTTCTTTCTTCTTCTCCTCCTCCTCCACTTCCTCCTCCATTCTTCTTTCTCTGTTAATGAATGAATGAAAGCCTATTGTTCCAGAAGATTTATGCATAACCCTTTTGAAATTGAAAGCAAATTCTTTTGATTTGATTTAGTAGGTCTGCATATTATTCCAATTATGATTAATCTGAATTTTTGCATTCTCCTAGATGTTGATTTCACAAGTCACATCTCCTTGTTCCCAAGTTACATTTGAATAGGCTAAAGTTACATTCACAAATTACATCAGATTTGTTCCTAGGTTACATTTGAATCAAAGCAGATTACATTTCAATGAGTTACATTTGAATGAGTGTAATTTAATAAACTTGAAGTTACACGTGAATTCACATGATTTACATTCCATATAACTTTGGGAGCAAGATGCTTACCCTGCACCGCTCTCACGGTATAGCAACCGCATTTTCATACGGAGTTTCTAATAAGAGTTAATGACCCATATAAGACTAAAACTAATTGAATGTGCGTAAATAGGACTAGGGAAAAAAGCAATAATACGTAGGACTTAAAAAGGAGTGTTTTTCCAAGTTTAACCTTCATCTATAATTAAATGAGATTTATTTGTATGGAAGCTATCGGAAAAGTTGGAAGACATCGTGCGATACCAGTGGGCGAAAATATATGGAACAGTTGTAGTCCAATAATTATGGAAAAAATTTCCGGCGCAAGGCTCGGGAATCAATATACTATCGCAACTACCAATTTACTCCAGCCTGTTACCCTAGAACCGAAACTCAAGTTTCGAAATTCAAGTTGTTTGAGAGAGAACCGAAACCTAGAACCTGGACAACGGAGGAAGGAAAGAAGTCGTGACGATGGATGAAGATTTTGATAAACAGAGCACCAGAATGAGGGAGACAAAAATCCAACCTGGTAAGTTTTTTCGCCAATATTAATAGTGTGCATCATTTTTTTGAGAAAAAGAAGGAAGAAGAAGAAGTGTAATGAATCAGAAATCATATAATGATATTAGTAGGGCCCACATATAATATTTTTGGGCCAGAAACACAAGAGCAATTCCAGGAAGAAGTAGTACAAGATGAAAGGGAAAAAATCACATTACAGTGTAATAAAGATGCCGAAACCGTGGTTGGAGTGGAGCAAGGGCATATGGATATTGATGGAGAAGTAAGGAATGAACAGAAACATGATGATGGCTCTGGTGAGAGAAGAGAAATAAATGCAAGTGAAAAGGAGAATGAAGAAATGGCAGAAAAGGGAGTAGGCGAGGAAAAGGAAGATGGGGGGAAACAGAGTAAATGCGAACAGGAAGGAATGGATGGTTTGGAAGAAATTGATGAAAGAAGGGGAGAGAATGTGGAAGTATGTTGGGAAGATTTCAATACTCAATTTGTGACCGAAATAATCACTAGTGCGGGTAAAGTTGAAAAACTTGTTCTAGGGGAAAAAAGTGAAGTAAATCATAGTCCAGGCGGGGAGGTAAATATTTGAGTGTTTACTTGAATATATTAAAGTACAAAATGCAAAAGTAATTAATCATTTACTAATTTAAGAATTAATATTTTTCTTTTACAGAGTGCTGCAAAGGTGCAATTACAGGAGCCCTGTCAAGGTAATGGTGATAATGGGAACAAAGAGAAGACAAATGTGCAAGCAGAGGACACAAAGGGAAAATCGGTAAGCACCAGATTTGAATTTGTGCGAATGTGAAGTCATAATAGTGGAAATTTAATTGAAACATATTGTTATTTATGCATTTGTTACGGTACAGATTGAGACCCCATGTGCACCAATTGTAAGAACACAGCGCCTTGCAAGATCACCGGACCGATATACACCAGCAGAGGCGACTACAGCGGCAAAGAAGAGAAGGAAGGAAAGGGCAAAAAGAATTGAAGTGGACAATTTTTTACCTGCAAAAAATATGGACCCTTTCCACAAGACCCAACCAAATGGCCACCTGAAGAAGAAATAAAGAAGGTGGCAGATTTTCTTCGAGTTGGTTTGATGAAGAAGCCAACAAAGCTAAGTGGTAACAGAAAGTACCTTATGTCACGCCCCGGACCTCCCCGGACACGTCAACAACCCGCCGTACAATACGAATAGTCAACCGCAGTCCAACACATTCATATTATACAAGGCGTCATGAATATCATTCACACATAATTCATCCATAAACATACATAATAAACAATTGAATACGCAGCGGAAAACATTGTTTAAAACAAAAGGGCCACACAGGGCAAACATGAGCACGCAGGCTCTAAAGTAAAATATCCATGAGCAAGTTTAATATTATTTAAAAACAGGATGGAGGAAGCACGAACCAAGTCTTCTCTCCAAGGAATCACTCGATCAACGAGCACAGGAAACAAGCTCTAGCCTCAACCTGAAATGGTGGTGGGACGCCCCCGAAGGGGGTCAGTACTCTATACGGCTATAAAGTACTGGTGTGGCAGGCATCTAATAGATATACAACAAGTATTTCAAACACAAGACCCTCAAGTAGGGTGATAGTACATTATGATTGTAACCCTAAGTTACCCCGTTTAAAAATATACTTACTTTATATAAAAGTCAAGTAGTCGGCCCGTGGGCCCGTTTTCATTTGGAAATCACCATTCCCAACCCCGTGGCTATAAGCCACGACAACTCCTAGAGTCCAACCCTAGTACATGACATTGTATTCTAGAGCTCGGCTCTACCACATCACCATACAATTCATATACCTCGGGTCAATTTCCTTACCTTGCGTTCTAGAGCTCGGCTCTACCACATCACCACGCAAGTCCTAGAGCTCGGCTCTAGCTATACAATACATAGACTCCAAGTCTACCCTTACATGCATTCTAGAGCTCGGCTCTATCACATCACCATGCATTAAGGTCCAATTCTCAAGCAACCCTATGCCTAGAATTGACATATCATTAAACTACCATGGGTCATCCTTAAAGACTTCCCATAACTTAACCTTAGTTCCATACTAAGTTATTATATACACTTGAACTATATTCAAGCACCTTTCATACAATCCAATCCCTAGGATCAATTTAATCAATAAATCCCAATAATCATTAACTAGTATTTCAATACTATTAAGATTATTGTTATCAAACCATTATCCTTGTTATTTGTAATTCTCTACATATTTATAATTATGTAGCAGCAACTTAAACATTCATTCTCAATACACAAATATTCATTTATGTATCCACATAATTCATACATGAGAAAAATGCCCATTTTCACAAATAGTTCATTTATACTCATTTAATCTCATATTATTCATACCTTCTCAAATCATTTCAAATTTCATTCTTTGGCAACTATATCAATATTTCATCAATATATAATCATCATAATCCATGAAAAATCATGATTTAAGCATTTAGGTAATCTCATGCTTAACCTACAAGTTGTAAGCAATTAGATGTCAATCCTCACCTCAATTGAGCTTTAAACTTTCCCTTCTTGGTCCAATGGTCAAAGCTTTGGTCAAGGTGGATTTGGAACTGATTCCTTGCTCAAATATGAGTGTTAAACAGCCTCCTCAAAGTGCTAGTTCAACCCTTAATCGTTGATACGAAAACAGCCCCTAGAACGGGTGTTTCCCGGTCAACTCGTTTCCTAGTTTTTCCAAGATTTGCTCTAGGTTAGTATCTAACCTTTACATCAATAAAATAACTTTATAAGGACATATTATACACTTGTATTAGTGTATGATAGTCCCACCAATCGTTCATATCATTTGGAAAATGAAAGGTAAAGTTTTGGGGTTAAAACTCACTTTTAGAAGATTAAATCCTCTCCTGCGAGGTTGTGTTTTGCTCGGACGATTTGGAAGCCTTCCACAACTCCGATTCCTGCAAACCAGACCTTCACGGATTCCTCGTCTTGAGAGCCTTCTGTGGGTATCTCACACGCCTTAATTGGATTTGTAAAACTCGAGATATCAACCAAACAGTCTCAGCACTCTCACAGCTCGAGTTCACAGACCACCACTCACTCCAGCTCGATTTTTGTAAGATAAGCTTTCTCTCCTCGAACAAAGACCACTCAATTGGGATACTAGACTTCAAAGGCTATCCAAGGACACCTTATACACCTCATTTGGACGAGTACAACTCTCAAAATGAAGGGAGACAAAACAGCACACCTGTTTGTGCGAAAACAGTGGTGGTGGCCCCAAAATTTGATTCCTATCAAGTCTTGTGCAGCTCCTCTCCATGGTGGTCGGCCAAGGTAAGTTTCCTAACCCATTTTTATTTGTCTTGCAGGTACTAATGTCATGTGGAGTGGTTCCCAATTGATCCCAATCATTTTGGGATTCAAATTATCTACCAATACTTCCAAAAATGAGGAAAACGGGTCCTATTGTTTTATCTTTGTCAAAAGATGTCTTTTTGTACTCATCCTAATTTATTTAGAACAAGTCAACTTCCTAAATCACATTATTGATCTCCAATATGTGTAGGCTCATCCCAATAATTTACTTGATGGATATTACAAAAGAATACGGGTTTGAACAATACAATATTCAATCATGTACTTCGTAAAATATTAATCGTTTCTTCCATTGTTTTGAAATCGGAAATTCAATACATAAATGTTAAATTTTTAAATCGAATTTTCAAGGACGTTCGGGTGCGGTGTCACAAGTTCACCCCCCCCCCCCCCTTAACAGGAATTTCGTCCCCGAAATTCACAGCTCTACTCGAATAGGAAAGCATACTGCTTCCTCATCAAAGCCTCTGTTTCCCATGTCTCTTCCTCGACTCGATCGCTCTTCCACAGGACTTTAACCATTGGGACTTCTTTGCTCCTCAGCTTCTTCACCTTTCTATCGGTGACTTTGATAGGTTGAACAGCGTAGTTCAAATCCTCACGTACCTCTACAGGTGGCTTCTCCAATACGTGAGAGGGATCATGCACATACTTCTTAAGCATGGATACATGAAACACATTATGTATCTTCTCTAACTCAGGAGTCAACTGTAGGCGATATGCAACGGTCCCAATCCTCTCTATAATTCTGAATGGACCTATATATCGTGGGTTAAGTTTTCCTCGGGTTTGGAACCGAATGATCCCTTTCCAAGGAGAAACTTTCAAGAATACCTCGTCATCAACCTTAAACTCTAAGGTTCTTCGACGCTTATCTGCATAACTCTTTTGTCTATCCTGAGCCGCTTTGAGTCTCTCTCGAATCAACTTCACCTTTGATTTGGTGACCTCAACCAACTCAGTACCCTCGAGTTTGGCCATGCCAACCTCATCCCAGCATAGCGGTGTACGGCATCTCCTCCCATACAATGCCTCGTATGGAGGCATACCGATGCTTGCCTGATAACTGTTGTTATAGGCAAACTCCACAAGTGCTAAGTGGTTGTCCCAACTTCCTTGGAACTCTAATGCACAAGCCCTCAGCATGTCTTCTAAGATCTGTATGACTCTTTCAGACTGCCCGTCCGTCTGTGGGTGGAAAGCAGTACTGAACTTCAACCTCGTTCCCATAGACTCCTGAAATTTCGGCCAAAAACGTGATGTGAATCGTGGGTCTCTATCGGATACAATGGTCACTGGAACCCCATGTAGCCTCACGATCTCATCCGTGTACAATTTGGCTAACCTCTCGAGTGGGTAAGTAGTGTTGATAGGTAAGAAGTGTGCACTCTTTGTGAGCCTATCTACAACAACCCAAACTGCGTCATAGTTCCTGATCGTCCGTGGCAACCCTACCACAAAATCCATAGTCACGTGTTCCCACTTCCATTCAGGAATGGAAAGTGGTTGCAATAAGCCCGCTGGATGCTGATGTTCTGCCTTAACTTGTTGACAAGTAAGGCATCGACTGATATATTCGGCTATTTCTCTCTTCATACCTGACCACCAGTAACTCTCCTTCAGGTCACGGTACATCTTCGTGCCCCCCGGGTGCATGGCATAAGCCGATGAATGAGCTTCCTCTAAGATGGACTTTCGGAGCTCATCATCTGCCGGTACACACACTCGGTCACGAAATAATAAGAGACCGTCATCTCTTTCTCTGAAGTCCTCCACCGGTCCCGCTTGCATGCGTTCCCGGATCTTCATAATTTCTTCGTCGGTTTCCTGACCCTTCTTGATCTCATCAAGTAAAGTAGGTCTCACCTCAAATCGTGCCAATAAGGCACCATCACTGGATACCTCCAGTTGGGCTCTTAATGCCCTCAAATTAGCTAGCAATGGCCCAGACGAGCTTTTCCGGCTCAAAGCATCTGCCACCACGTTAGCCTTGCCTGGGTGATACTCTATCACCAGATGGTAGTCTTTTATCAACTCCATCCACCGTCTTTGTCTCATGTTTAGCTCTTTCTGAGTAAACACGTATTTCAAGCTCTTGTGATCAGTGTATATGTGACATGTCTCCCCGTAGAGATAATGTCTCCATATCTTCAGTGCAAACACCACTGCCCCCAGCTCCAAATCATGAGTAGGATAATTCACCTCATGCTTCTTCAACTGTCGTGAAGCATAGGCGATTACCCTCCCATTCTGCATCAGTACACACCCAAGCCCTTGGATGCTCGCATCACTATAGACATCGTACCCCACACCCTGTTTGGGTAATGCAAGTACCTGTGCCTCGGTCAATCGTTTCTTTAGTTCCATGAACCCCTTCTCACATTTGTCATCCCGTACAAACTTAGCTCCTTTACGAGTGAGCTTCGTCAATGGTGATGCCAAAACAGAGAACTTCTCCACGAACTTCCTGTAGTAGCCTGCCAATCCAAGGAAACTACGAATTTCCTTGACGTTCTTTGGCCTCTCCCATTCGGTAATGGCTTCTATCTTCTTGTTATCAACAGCAATTCCCGATCCAGAAACCACGTGCCCGAGAAAGCCGATTTCCTTTAGCCAAAATTCACATTTAGAAAATTTGGCATAAAGTTGCTTCTCCCGTAGTGTCTTAAGAACAAGTATCAAGTGCTCTTCATGCTCTTCTTCACTCTTTGAGTAAATCAAGATGTCATCTATGAACACAATCACGAATCGGTCCAAGTATTTATGAAATACTCGGTTCATCAAGTCCATGAATGCCGCCGGGGCGTTTGTTAGCCCAAACGACATAACAAGGAATTCAAAGTGCCCATACCTTGTGCGGAAAGCACTCTTTGGTATGTCATCTTCCTTAATCTTCAATTGATGGTACCCCGACCTCAAGTCAATCTTCGAAAACACGGTTGCCCCTCGTAGTTGGTCAAACAAGTCATCAATTCTAGGCAAAGGATACCTATTCTTGATTGTGACCTTGTTCAGTTGACGATAGTCAATACACATTCGAAGTGTCCCATCTTTCTTTTTCACAAAAAGAACTGGTGCTCCCCACGGGGAGTGGCTTGGTCTAATGAAACCGTTATCCAAAAGCTCTTGCAATTGGGTTTTCAACTCGTTAAGTTCAGCGGGTGCCATACGGTATGGCGGTATGGAGATTGGTTTGGTACCAGGCTCGACCTCGATCAAAAATTCAATCTCCCTGTCAGGTGGCAGCCCCGGTAGGTCTTTAGGGAAGACATCCGGATACTTACAAACCACCCTCACATCATCGACGTTCGTTTCCTCTTTGGTTTTGTCAACCACGTATGCTAGATATGCGTGACATCCCTTTCTCATCATACTTATCGCTCTCACGGCGGATATGATACAACTATTTGATCTCCCTCGATCGCCCTCGAAGCGTAGGGTCTCCCCATCATTGCCTTCGAGTTCAAGAACCTTCGTGTAGCAATCTACCCTAGCATGGTTCCTTTCTAGCCAATCCATCCCTAGGATTGCATCGAATTCAATCATGCCCAGCGGTACGAAGTCACACGTCAAGGTTTGACCATTAACCTCCACCCAACAAGATGGATAATAACAAGTTCTTTCCACGTCATCTCCTAGTGGTGTTGATACCACTAAGGTTTGCATCAATGGTGCGGATTGCACCCCCAACCTCTTGGCGAACGCTTCATTCACAAATGAACGTTGCGCCCCGGTATCGATAAGGATTCGCGCATCCTTCCCATTAATCTTTAGCGTCCCTACATTCATGAACCATGTAAGACATTTTTCCTACCCTCCCTACTCATTTATAGAAGGTTACAATGTTCACACGCATGTTAGGGATCAAGAAAAGGTCTTAACGTTGCAATACGGCGCGAAAAAGTCGACTTTGGGCTGCCCAGGAGGTACGCACGGCGTGCCTAGGAGGTACGCACGGCGTGCGTGTCTTATAACCTCAAAACGGAGCTACTGCCACCAACGCACGGACCAACGCACGGACAACGCACGTCCGTGCGTATAGCAATTTCTTCCCGGTTGCTACTGCCACCAACGCACGGACCAACGCACGGACAACGCACGGCCGTGCGTATAGCAATTTCTTCCCGGGTTGCTACTGCCACCAACGCACGGACCAACGCACGGACAACGCACGGCCATGCGTATGGTCCAGCCTGGTGTGCGTTGGCGGAAATCAGCCGTCTTTCGCCCGATTTCGCTCCGTTTGACCCCAAAGCTTCGTGCAATGATCCCAACGACTAGCAACCTCAATTTATGGACTAATCAAGGGTAAAACATAAGTATACAAAAGGTAATACCTGCAACGGAATCCGGGTTAGCTTGAGCATCCGCCTCCGTCATTGCGTAGACCCTAGCCTGGGTCCTTCCTTGGTTCACGGATGGCGCGTTACTCGTGCTTGCTCCCCCATGTCCCCGGCTTGCTTGAGAAGCCCCGGGTTGATTCCGTGTACCCGTCGGGCCATTACTTGGTCCCGATGTCCTTGCCCCGCCCAGTTGTGGGCAAAGTGCCTTCAAATGCCCGGCATCCCCACATTGAAAGCATCTAGGGGGGTCGCGACATTTACCGGAGTGGTTCTTCTTGCAATTGTTGCAACGAGTCACCACCGAGGTTTGTGACCTCGAGCCTTGCCCACTCGGGCCTTGGTTCCCCCTAGACGGTGGTGGTGGTGCCCGGAAAGATCCTCCTCCATGGTTCCCCTTTTTGTTGGAACCTTGGGAGCCATGACTCTCCCATTTTCTCTTTTTCGCCTCCTCGGCGTCTCTCTTCTTCCGTTCCTCCCACTGTTTCTCCCCTTTCAACGCTTGGTCAACCACTTGGGCGAAAGTCATATTAGGCAATTGCGTTGCCCTATCACGTATCTCCAAGTCAAGAGCGTCCCAAAAGTGGTTTACCATGCGGTTCTCGTCACAAGCATACTCCGGTATGTAGTCGGCGAGATCCCGGAACTTGTACTCCAGCTCCTTCACTGACATGTTACCCCCTTGGGTTAGGAGGGTGTATTCCCTCACCTTCTTATTCACCTCGAAATCAGAATAGTATTGGGCAAAGAACTCCCGTTGGAAGTCCTCCCAAACGACGGTCTCACCGTACTTGTTCTTGGTTCCATCCCACCACTTGGATGCCATCCCCTCGAGCAATCTTACCGCAATTCTCAGTTTGAGATTCGGCGCGATTTGCATGTCAAGGGCTGCTTCATTTAGCCTCTTGATCCATTGTGCTGCCACTGAAATGTCCCCTGCTCCATCAAAGGGTTTGCACCCCAAATCTCTTGCTTCTTTGATGTATTTGGAGATCCTTATGGTTGGACCTCCATCATTTTGGCCTCCACGTGGTTCCACATGGACTCTAGATGCACCATGACTTCCTCCTCGTGAAGCCATGCCCGAAGGTTGCCCAGCCCGGCGCCTTCGGCGTTCCCTCCTCTCTTCACGCTCACGGTGATATTATTGGAGTAATGCCTCAATCCGCGCTAAGGAGCCGTTGTCCTCCTCATCACTTGCATCATCGTCATCCCCTTCATAAGGGGTTTCAACCGGCTCTGTTTCCGGCCGATAGGTCGAGTCCTCATAGGACCAATAGCTCTCGCTTTCGGTGCTCACATGACCGTCGCTCACGGTCTGTGATCGGCCTCCACGGCCAGCTCCTCCAGATGCTCTAGAGGTCCTTTGACTGCCCAGTCCAGTCTCCACTGGTACACGGCCAGTCGGGTTTCTCCTAGTAATCCTGCCACCACGGTCCATTTCTGAAAGAAAATTTGGAAAGAGTCGTTAAACTCGTATCAAATGTCAATTGACGGATAGGTACTCAAGACACTACTTGGCTCAAATTGCTGCCATACCAATTGCTAAGGGTACCATCTTAACAATTAGAGACCTTGCAACTCAAGTACCAAAAGTTCTTCAAGTACAAAACGTTTATGCTCATGGTTTTAAAAAATCATTTTGAAAAGAGAATTTCGAGACTTCATTATGAAGTTTATGGACTAAGTCTCTGATACCAACTTAATTGTCACGCCCCGGACCTCCCCGGACACGTCAACAACCCGCCGTACAATACGAATAGTCAACCGCAGTCCAACACATTCATATTATACAAGGCGTCATGAATATCATTCACACATAAGTCATCCATAAACATACATAATAAACAATTGAATACGCAGCGGAAAACATTGTTTAAAACAAAAGGGCCACACAGGGCAAACATGAGCACGCAGGCTCTAAAGTAAAATATCCATGAGCAAGTTTAATATTATTTAAAAACAGGATGGAGGAAGCACGAACCAAGTCTTCTCTCCAAGGAATCACTCGATCAACGAGCACAGGAAACAAGCTCTAGCCTCAACCTGAAATGGTAGTGGGACGCCCCCGAAGGGGGTCAGTACTCTATACGGCTATAAAGTACTGGTGTGGCAGGCATCTAATAGATATACAACAAGTATTTCAAACACAAGACCCTCAAGTAGGGTGATAGTACATTATGATTGTAACCCTAAGTTACCCCGTTTAAAAATATACTTACTTTATATAAAAGTCAAGTAGTCGGCCCGTGGGCCCGTTTTCATTTGGAAATCACCATTCCCAACCCCGTGGCTATAATCCACGACAACTCCTAGAGTCCAACCCTAGTACATGACATTGTATTCTAGAGCTCGGCTCTACCACATCACCATACAATTCATATACCTCGGGTCAATTTCCTTACCTTGCGTTCTAGAGCTCGGCTCTACCACATCACCACGCAAGTCCTAGAGCTCGGCTCTAGCTATACAATACATAGACTCCAAGTCTACCCTTACATGCATTCTAGAGCTCGGCTCTATCACATCACCATGCATTAAGGTCCAATTCTCAAGCAACCCTATGCCTAGAATTGACATATCATTAAACTACCATGGGTCATCCTTAAAGACTTCCCATAACTTAACCTTAGTTCCATACTAAGTTATTATATACACTTGAACTATATTCAAGCACCTTTCATACAATCCAATCCCTAGGATCAATTTAATCAATAAATCCCAATAATCATTAACTAGTATTTCAATACTATTAAGATTATTGTTATCAAACCATTATCCTTGTTATTTGTAATTCTCTACATATTTATAATTATGTAGCAGCAACTTAAACATTCATTCTCAATACACAAATATTCATTTATGTATCCACATAATTCATACATGAGAAAAATGCCCATTTTCACAAATAGTTCATTTATACTCATTTAATCTCATATTATTCATACCTTCTCAAATCATTTCAAATTTCATTCTTTGGCAACTATATCAATATTTCATCAATATATAATCATCATAATCCATGAAAAATCATGATTTAAGCATTTAGGTAATCTCATGCTTAACCTACAAGTTGTAAGCAATTAGATGTCAATCCTCACCTCAATTGAGCTTTAAACTTTCCCTTCTTGGTCCAATGGTCAAAGCTTTGGTCAAGGTGGATTTGGAACTGATTCCTTGCTCAAATATGAGTGTTAAACAGCCTCCTCAAAGTGCTAGTTCAACCCTTAATCGTTGATACGAAAACAGCCCCTAGAACGGGTGTTTCCCGGTCAACTCGTTTCCTAGTTTTTCCAAGATTTGCTCTAGGTTAGTATCTAACCTTTACATCAATAAAATAACTTTATAAGGACATATTATACACTTGTATTAGTGTATGATAGTCCCACCAATCGTTCATATCATTTGGAAAATGAAAGGTAAAGTTTTGGGGTTAAAACTCACTTTTAGAAGATTAAATCCTCTCCTGCGAGGTTGTGTTTTGCTCGGACGATTTGGAAGCCTTCCACAACTCCGATTCCTGCAAACCAGACCTTCACGGATTCCTCGTCTTGAGAGCCTTCTGTGGGTATCTCACACGCCTTAATTGGATTTGTAAAACTCGAGATATCAACCAAACAGTCTCAGCACTCTCACAGCTCGAGTTCACAGACCACCACTCACTCCAGCTCGATTTTTGTAAGATAAGCTTTCTCTCCTCGAACAAAGACCACTCAATTGGGATACTAGACTTCAAAGGCTATCCAAGGACACCTTATACACCTCATTTGGACGAGTACAACTCTCAAAATGAAGGGAGACAAAACAGCACACCTGTTTGTGCGAAAACAGTGGTGGTGGCCCCAAAATTTGATTCCTATCAAGTCTTGTGCAGCTCCTCTCCATGGTGGTCGGCCAAGGTAAGTTTCCTAACCCATTTTTATTTGTCTTGCAGGTACTAATGTCATGTGGAGTGGTTCCCAATTGATCCCAATCATTTTGGGATTCAAATTATCTACCAATACTTCCAAAAATGAGGAAAATGGGTCCTATTGTTTTATCTTTGTCAAAAGATGTCTTTTTGTACTCATCCTAATTTATTTAGAACAAGTCAACTTCCTAAATCACATTATTGATCTCCAATATGTGTAGGCTCATCCCAATAATTTACTTGATGGATATTACAAAAGAATACGGGTTTGAACAATACAATATTCAATCATGTACTTCGTAAAATATTAATCGTTTCTTCCATTGTTTTGAAATCGGAAATTCAATACATAAATGTTAAATTTTTAAATCGAATTTTCAAGGACGTTCGGGTGCGGTGTCACACCTTATGGGAGAGGACAACATGGGTCGTGTACCGTTTATTCTCGATGTGGCCAAAATAGAGTCCAAAACATGGCTATACAAGTTGTTTACCAGTCCGGAATGGTTGGATGATACAGTGATGTTTCTGTCCTGAGCTTTTAGTAGTTTAAAAGTTAATTTAATTGTTGCATTAAAAATGGAAAAAATATGCATACTGGAATATTGCTTGATAATTGGTGTGATGTATTTTTTTGCAGCATGTATATGTTGGAATGTACTATTTGAATGTTAAACAAGTGCAATACCCGGTGAAGCACGCCTACAGCGTAAGTGGGCCATATTTTATGCAAATGTTGAGGCGTGAGAATGAGAAGATACAAAAAGGCCAGTTGACGGTGTAAGAAGCAGCAAACATTGCAGTAATCGAAGATGACATTCAAGGCAGTGTTTCACTATTCTCTCGGAGTTGGGCAGAATCTGAGTTCGTGTACCTACCTGTTAACACTGGAAGCCACTGGGTTTTGCTTGTGTTGGAAGTCAAAAAAAAAAATAAGGGTTTACAATTCCAAAAGTAGAAGGGCTGAAAGTTTACGAGACATTAGACCTTATACACATGGCATGCAGTGGTTGCTTCCTAAAATCATGGACGTGCACGGTGTGTATAAGGAAATAGGGGATGAACGTATGGGTGAAAAATTGTTGGAGTTAGAAGCTGTTGATTGCCCACAACAGGATGACGGGTAACATTTTACTCGGGATATCTATCAATTAAAAATTTCATTAATTTGAAATATACTACGTAATATGTAAAGACAAATGAATTTGTTCTTAATGTTGTGTCATGTTTGTAGGGGCAACTGTGGCATGTTCTTGTTGAAGTTTGTTGAGTTCTTAATGATGGGAAAAGATGTTCAAGAGGTTCGGTCAAAGGACATGCCCATGTATAGGAGTAAAATGGCTACAGAGTTAGTGTTGTATAACAAAAAGAGAATGGAGGAACAACACAAGAAGGGACTGATAGAGAGGATGTCGAAGTGAAAGATGGCAGAATGATAGTTGAAAAGCAGCAAAGTGGTTTTCATGACTTGTGTAAAATGTTATATTTTGGAGACAATTTTTTATGTTGTGATGCTACCGTTTTTTATTTTATTTTTTTCAAAAAAGAGCATACACGTGTTTTGTTTGATGTCGGAAATGACCTAGTGTTTGCAATTAAAGTGTACGCATGTTTGGATATTAAATGACAAATGACTTGGTGGTGTGTGCAAATCAAAGTGGAAAAGCGCCCATGTATTTTTTTAGATGGAAGAACACAAATGTAATGATATATTTTGGCAGTAATGGTTTCGATTTTGGCATTACTGCCACAATATTGGCAATAACGAATTAGAGTTTTTAAGTTCACATAGATAATGAATTTTGTTAAGATATGGGGTTTATTCAAGTTGAGTGTTTTCATTATTATCTCATTGTGTTGTATAGGTTTTGTTGTATAGGTTCTTTATATGTTTGGTGTATGCCTGTGTCTCTTGAGTGGTCAGGACCTCATCAAGATTTGTACTTTGACCTAACATTGTTTATCTATATGGTTTAATAAATTCCTTAAATTTTTTAAGAAAAAAAACAATGTTTTTTTTTGCATGTTCATAATACGGCATCAGATGGCAAAAAGTCGAAGTAAACGCTTGAAATTTACATTATGTAGTTGAAATGAAAATTGTCGGAATTCATCTTATGATACGAAACGAAAGAGTTGACTAATAGTGATTGGAAGCAATCAAATAAAAACATCAATAAATCTTAAGAATTAAACTGGGGTACTAGTGGAAGGCAGTAAATGAAAATTATGTTGGAATAAAAAGCTAAAAAAATACATCAATCATGTATAGAAGGTAGGGGATTGCGACAAGTTTTTTTGTTGTGACCAAGAGCATTACAACGAGAACATTTTCTACGCTTGGTTCCGCGTTGTTCACCAATTGATGGAATTCTTGACTTCTTTGGGCAACCGGGTGGTCTTTTTGAACACGAAGGAGGCTTGCAACGAACTTGTAAAATATGGGAAGGAACCAACCAAGACTGTACGTCTCAGATAGGATGCATAACAGCACTCCAAGTGGACAGCCAAGTATCGCGAGTGTAATAAGGAGATATAAAAGAATAACATGACATGGCAGGGCGGGTACCAATAACAGCAACTGCATGCACACAAACGAAGTGAGTCAATTGAAAGACGCCGCAAGTACATGTCTTAGCATTGAGGTCAACCAAAAATTAAATGAGCGACAGTGCCTATCCACAACTTCAAACTCTATATAAGACGCTGGCTTTACCTGCATTTTTTTTTATAAAAGTTAAAAGCATAGAGGACAAAGATGGAAAGCTACTTAAAAGGTTGTCACTGTAATATGAAAACATGGCAGAATGCAAATATTCTTAGGCAAAATATGCCACATATTTGGAATTATACGTATGATAGTAGTGAACCAAGTTGATGATACAAACTAACTCAGTGCAGTGGTTTTTTACACAACAAGACTATTAAAAAACAAACAAAATCACTTACCTGCATCGTGCAAGCCTGACCTTGAAGCGCCACCAAATGCTTCTCACGTTTAGTAGCCAAAATAGTGCACGTTTTCTCAGCAAGTTCTTTCCTTTCAGTGAATCACAACTGCATTCTTTCCCTCAGAAAGTCAACTAGTTTTGATATAGAATACTCCCTCGCAGAAACATTAACATTGTTAAGAGATTCAGCACAATTTGAAGTCATCACATCATATCTCCTAGGACTGGACATGCATTTAGCCCACTTTTCAACGCCAATCTTTTCAAGCCAAGGTCGTATACGGACATCTTCAGAATCCAACAAGCACATATATTCCTCATATTCCTTGACTGTCGAAGCATCATATGCAGCTCTGAATTTCCAGCTTAAATTCTTACCACCCTTAAAATTAGGAATCATGTTACGCCGAAGGTGCGCCACACAATAGCCATGAAGAGCGTGAGGGAAAATCTACTTGACAGCACTGAGAATGCCTTCATGTCGGTCAGATATGATAAACATATCTGGTCTAAAGGTTATGGATTCTCTCACTTTGGTAAAAAACCAATTCCACGAGGCTTTGGATTCAGAATCCCAAATTCCATAAGCTATTAGGACAATATGACCGTCAGCATCTTGGGCACAGGCTGTAAGTAGTGTCCCCTTGTAGTACGCCTTCATGAATGATCCATCTACAATTAAAACAGGTCTGCAAAAATCCCATGCCTTCCGCCAAGGTAAAAGAGAAATAAAAAAGTTTTGAAACTCATCTGCATCACCTATGGTTAGAGAAATAACAGAATATGGATTTGCCTTGTCAAGCATATATGCCATGGAAGGTAGTTTTTGATAAGACTCTGAATCTGATCCAAATTGCTTTTGCATTGCTAACTTTTGAGCTTTATAGGATTTCTTATATGACATGGAAATGCCATAGGATACACTCATTTCTTCCCTTATTTGATGTGATGCATATGATTTTTTTGAGGCATCCAAATATTTATGAGAAATCAGCTCTGCAACAGTGCGATATGTCGCTTGTCTATGGTTTCCTTGCCTAAAATCAAGGGAGCAGGTGTGCGTTGAGTCAAACCTGTATGTAAGGAAATTAGTCAAGTAAAGTAGAAATGCCAAAAATATGGAAGAATATAACAGAGCAAACAGGGAAAAAAGATAAGGGGACAAACCTTTTGATCTGAAACATTTGAACACCATCTAACTTGATAGCCCTGACAGCCCATTTACAATTTTCTTCATCAAGACAAACAACATGCAAAAAAGTTTTCTTGAAGAAAGCGTTGTGTATTGAAAACCATTATCAATCGCATAAACTTCAAATGAAGACTGAGGACAGACTTACACTTGTATATACCATGCAAAATTATTTGAGTGGGATGGTAGTGCGTATTAACTTCCAAATTATGATGGATGGAAGATGAGTGAGTGAAAAATAAATGATGAGGAGGCGACTGACAAGGGCTCACATCATTCAATGGACTATGACATAGGGCATCAATAGTTGTAACAGGACTGTTTGATATTTGTGTGAGGTCAGATTCATGATTAACAATGGTGTAATTGTCGGATTCAGATTTCTCACCACTAACACTACCATCTTCTTCAGAAAAATCTTCATTTGGTGAAGCAGAAATTTGAAGTATACCATTTGCTACTCCAGTGACCGTGCAAGGATTATAAACATCAACTGAGAATTCCACACACAAGGGGTACTTTCTGAAATCAGTCTGCACAACCTTAAGGTTGAGGAAAAATCGAAAACTGGCTTCATCATTGATATGAACAGGTGGAGGGCAGCCATGAACCATATAAGATAACTTGAAGTTTTTTGTTGGCTTATAATCAAATAATATGGGAGAAAGTTGTTCTATAAAGTCTTTGTATGTAGC